GGAGTTCTGGTTTAGGACCAGCCAGAGATGAAGTGTCTCAGAGTAATGTAGCCCTCCCTCTACAGCCTTCCTTTCCTATATCAGAGTCATCTTCCTCTTCCTAGGAAGGAGTTCCCTTTGACAGTAAGGACCTGGTCTGGGCCTCCATCTGGTCTGAGGACTTAGGAGCCAGCCTTGCCTGTTTCTTCCCTCAGGCCCAGAATACAAAAGCATGAAGAGCTGCATTTACATTGGCATGGCAAGTGATGATGTGGATGTTTCTGAGCTAGTGGAGACCATTGCAGTCACAGCCCGGGAAATTGAGGAGAACTCAAGGGTCTGTAAGACTAATCAGTTTCATGTCTTTCCTGAGTTTTGCAGTGGAACACAGGAGACTGTCTATTCATTTCTTTCTTTCCCAAATGTTGGTCCTATGCTAAGACCTGTGATCTAGGGGTTATGCCATACATCAGGAATGCCAGGAGGCCTTTCCACAGTCGCTGCTCCCAGTGACCTCACCAGGCAGTGTGGGGAAAGAGCCATGTATAGCTGAGCAGTGTGAGCATGTACTAAGGCTAAGACAGCTGAGCTTTTGCGAACTTGCTCACCTCTGCAGTATTCTGAGCTGAGACTTCCTAACTAAAAGGAGCTGACTTTAAGGACAAACAGCACAAGTGTCTAGTAGCAAGGAAGACCAGCCAAGAAGGCTAGAGGACAGACTCCAACTCAGCCTTGTCTGAGAGCAGACACACAAACATGCTGCAGTTCACTTTGGGATAGGGAAGGGATGAGGAGGTTAGAAAAGGCCAAGGAGCTGGCTGCATTCACTATTGCTTAGACTTTTAGACTGTGGGTTTTTCCCAGGCTTGGCTATTCTGACTTTGTCTCAGCATTAAACTGTGCTAGTTATATTATGAATATAAGTAGTTATTTCTCTTGTTTGGCAAATGGGACCAGACAAGAAGTTATATCTGCTGGGGTCTGCATGAGTTTTCATTTTTTTCTGTTTACTTTTCTATTTTAACTTTTGCTCATGTATTTCAGTGCAGAAGACTAACATATTGACAGACTTCTGGGAAGATGTCACCAATGCTATTGAATATGTAAATAGTTGTAGGCCCTGGGCAAGAAGCTTAGACAAATAGTATCTTTCTTGGTTTTACAGCTTCTAGAGAACATGACAGAAGTTGTTCGGAAGGGAATTCAGGAGGCTCAGGTTCAGCTACAGAAGGCAAATGAGGAGCGGCTTCTGGAAGAAGTAGGTTGCTGTCAGAACTCCCCAGGCTGGCATCCCGGGCAACAGGCTCAGCAGGCAGTCCTGAGCAGGGCTCTGTTTTGCAGGGCGTGTTGCGGCAAATCCCTGTCGTAGGATCCGTGCTGAACTGGTTTGCTCCAGTCCAGGCTTCACAAAAGGGAAGAAGTTTTAACTTAACAGCAGGTAGGACTGCTCCCTACCTAGATCTGTTATTTCAGATTTTGACCAGATGCCTTTAGCTGCTAGTACCTTCATGCTTTTATACCTTCCTGGATTCTCTACCAGGAGTCTGAATTGAAGCAGACTGCTCCTCCTGCCATGTCATATCCCCCAGTCTCTGCTGAAACAGTGAGAAAGCAAGTAGACACTTGATCCCACGGGCATTGCTCTTCCTTAGAACAAGGACATGGCTGTCCAGTCGGCCAGCATCTGGGAGCAGTGCAGTCGACACTGACATAAGGAGCCGTCCTGAGTATTCTGTGCAGAGCAGGGCTCCTTCTGCAAGGGGAACCTAATGATCAGAGCACACAGCACTAGGGTATTTTTGTAAACTAGTGGTACTACCAACTTCTTATCCTACCAAAGAAATGCTCACAAAATTTGATGTTCCTTCCTTTGGTCCTTCTTCAGAAAATAATGGGTGGATTCTCACGATAACCAAAGATATCATTAGATTTTCCTGGTATGGTGGCACAAGAATATAATCCTGGCATTTAGGAGGCTGAAGGTCACCTATCAGAGTTATGTGAGACTCTGTCTCAAAACACTATGAACATGTAATGCTTTATCTGTCAGACCTCAGCTATTAGCAGGAGCATGCTAAAGCTCTTTCATGCTAAAGTGCATTTCCCAGCTGGAGGTGGGTCCTGGCACACTGCACACACTGACTGAACACTCCAGGACGGAGGCTAGGGAGAAGGATGAGCAGCTGCAGGCTGGGTTTGCTCCAGTCAAAGTCACTGGGGAGCCAGATGGCTATAGACCTGGTTAGGACACAAAGCCAATTGAGGGCAAGTGACATCTCAGGATGTTTATGCCGAGAGCTTCTGTCCACTCCTTTGTTTTCCTTACAGGCTCTCTGGAGTCCACAGAATACACCTATGTCCACAAAGTACAAGGTACAGGAGTGACACCGCCTCCCACACCCTCAGGCACTCGAAGCAAACAGAGGCTTCCAGGTGGGTTAAACTTCTCCACCTCTACATTTCATGATCATTGATAAAAGAAAACCAGTTCTACTCCACTTAGGGAATGAACTCTGCATGCTGTTGATTCCTCACCTGTTGTTCCCGTATGTGCCTTTGTTTTCTTTAATCCAAAATTCCATTCCCTTCACTGAAACAACCATTCATGCACCTGTGATATATTCCCACAGATATGCCTTCATGGTACTCCAAAGGCAAGCACTGACTTAATCAAAATGTTTACTCCCATTAGGGTCACCATAGAATCACTGACCTCAGGAGCATTTTAGTGTCACAGTCTTCTTTAGTTCCTGCCTCACCTCTGAGATGTTTCTAAGCCAGAATTCCAGCATTCCTGCAATATCAATGACCATGCAGGACCACAGAGCCTTTGCTACAGCATGTACCACCAGTTTCAGGATAGTTTGTCTCATGTCTCTAGGTCAGAAGCCTTTTAAAAGGTCCCTGAGAGGCTCAGATGCTGTGAGTGAGACCAGCTCAGTCAGCCACATTGAAGACCTGGAAAAGGTGGAACAGCTGTCCAGTGGGCCAGAGCACGACAACCTAGAGGCCCACTGTCCGGAACAGCCTCCCAGGGCTGCTGACCCCACAGCCAGACAGACTGAGGCCCTACAGAACAAGGCCCAGCATCAGGAAGACGACCACTCACAGGTAGAGGAGCTGGAGCGCTTAAGATGAAGCTCAGCAGTCCTGGGCTAGAGGCTGGACTGACTGTTGTGTCAGGGACGGTAGGAACTATGCCACATGCTATGATAAAAACTGTTGTTTGTGCTGAGTTTTGCACAGATACATGTCAGAAAACCAGGCTTTCTAGGGGGCAGTTAATTATTTTATCTGTAAGTAGGACAAATGACAGTTGACCATTTTGGCCTGCCCAACATAGGCATACCCTTTCTTCATGTACCATAAACATTTGTACTGAGAGAACACATGTACTTCAGAACCTACCACTCGAAACACTGCTCTCATCTTCTCCGAATGAATCCAACCGTGATGAGACTGTACACAGTGACTCTCCAGGTTCTCTTCCATCTTAGCTCTGTAGTTCAGTCAAGTTATGGTAGATGCCTGCCTCATTGGTTGGCATGAGGGGATGGGTCTCAGTAGGACCATGAGTAAGAGCATCAGAAGCCCTCTGCTTCTGTCCCCACTGCTGCTTTTCCTGGAGCCTAAGTAAGAACTGTCCACATGAGCTGTGGCACTAGGACCATCCCTTGCTGCACTTTTTCTCCCTTACACATTCTTTGTAAACAAATTTAAGGACTCACCTGTTAATAGTAACTAACTCTAAGATCTCTTCCTGACCATATTTAAGGATATTTTTAAACACTGGTAATGCTTTTAAGTTGGTGTCCAGTGTGCACTGTGCTCGTGTCTATTTGGGGCAGAAAGCCCTCTGGAGGCCACAGTGACAAGCTCAATGTCGTCTGCTGTGCAGCACGGTAAGGCTGAAGCAAACAAGCCTTTGGCTTGCTTCTCATGATGTGGCTGTAGCTTCTCTTCTACTTGAAGCTCGCCCTGGGTCCAGCTCGGGAAAGAGCCAGAGAAGTCGCCTCTTCCAGGCTAACCAGCCAGAGCTTGCTGCCTCATTCCTGTCCACTTCTATTCCCCCAAGTGCTGTGTTACCTGTAGTACCCTAAGATGCCCCACCCCGTGCCTTTCTAGTCCCTCAAAGTCAAAACGGTGGAAGATGCTAGGATGGTGTTCCTGCAGACTGCAGCGTTGGAGCCTTAGTTACACCACATGAAGCCTCTAATTACCCTGACTTCACGGGGCGATTGCTGACAGCTGCCCTTGTCAACATGCAGTCTTTCCCTTTTTTGGGTGCAAATGATTAAATACAGTCTTCCCTGTTTATTTGGTGCAATGAAGTATAGCAGGTGACATGGGGTAGGAGCAAATTATCACCTTTAACAAGATTGATTTTTAAATGTTTTTGTACATTTGGAATTGTTACCTGGTTTTGCTGCAACAGAATTTACCTTGAGGCACTATCTGATGTTGGCTTAAATAAAGGCTCTTGAAATTGCTACCTTTGAACTCCGTATAACTCTTAACTTTTATCAGATAACAGAAAGGGGGTTTGGGAGATGTGGGATGGTTGGTTGGCTGGTTGGTTTGTTTGAGACAAGGTTTCTCTGAACAGCCCTGGCTGTCCTGGAACTCACTTTGTAGATCCTGGAACCCGATTTGTAGACCAGGCTGGCCTCAAACTCTCAGAGATTTGCCTGCCTTGGCCTCCCAAGTGCTAGAACTAAAGGCTGCACTACCAGGCAACATAATAGTTTCTAAATAGTAACTTATTGACCCTAACTGGCCATCTTACGCTGCCTTCACGATGTCCAGACTGATTTGATCTCCCAGGAGCTTGTCAAAAGGTAAAACCTCAACTGTTTCTTTCTGAGCCTTGCATCTTGCCTAGAACAGAACAGTTTTGACAGGAAGTTTCTCAAAGTAACTTTTGAGTAAGGAGTTTTCCTGAACAACTTGTCTCTAAAGCCACTGTCCCTCACGCTGGAGAATGTTTACTTTGTAGTGAGGCAAAAAGTCATCTCAACAAATTACCTTTGCCAAAATAAGGTTTTATTTTGAAAGACAAAAGGGAAGGAAGAAGGAAGAGTGAGCAGATGTAGATTCCAAACCGGCAACCATCTTTATCGGGGCAAAAAGTTGAATTCTTCGGTAACTCTGATCGGATGTTAGCTCCCTGGAGAGATCTTTTCCCATAAGCCATCTTTATTTTTTTTGTAGAGGAGAGCTTTATTTCCAGGAAACAGTATATTCTCTGGAGATGGAAATTTTTTTAAAAACATCAAGGTAGATCTAATATGTTCAACAAAGTGAGGGGGCTCGGCCAGAGGAGAAGTGGAAAGGTTCTGAAAAGACAAGAGGGTGGATGTGAGAGGGGCCAGGCTGCACCTCTCTCACTACGTCCAAGTAGCTCTGGGCTGTGTACACATCCACTGGGCTAGTTTCAATGTGGTGCCTCTGTACATCTGGGGAAACATACTTCATTGCTTACTGCTTCACCTGTATAAACAGCTGCCAGGGCATTACTAACCCCCACTGCCATAAGGGAAACAGAGACTGCCGATGGCAGCAGACAGCAGACAGTCACTCTCACCCGCTGAGGAGACGCAGCTTTAGCTGCTCTAACCCTTTTTTCTTACACATGGGAACCAGGGTGCAGAGACTTAAGGTTTAGCCGACCTGTAAACTCTCACCTCTAGGATTTGCTTGTCATCTTGCTGCAACCAGAAATCCACATGTGGGAATGGCGTCCAGGAACACGGGCCTATTCGAAGTTGTTCTGTCTTTGCATCATAAATGCTAATCATCTAAAAGAACCATTTCCATGACAAGCTGTAAGGACACTGCCCTGCCACTGCTGTAGTCTAGTTCCAAGGTTGTCTGTCCCCTTAGCTGATAAGCTGCACACATTGACCTCCCATAACAACAAGGCTGCCACCACCAAATCCGTCCCTGTGCATTGCTGTGTTTACTTCTGATGACAAGCCTACAAGAAGACATCATGCTGCCCTTTCAAGGGGAAGCTCATGGTGAAAGGTCCCAGGTCACATGTCCAGTGGGCATCAGCAGTGCCTGAAAGCCAGGTACGTCTGACTAAAGCCTGTATTCCTCATGGCTACACAAAATGCCACACCTCTTTATTACTACCCCAAGCAAATAGTCATCATGCCACATAAAACAGCTCATAGCGCCCAAGTATGACAGCTCACACTTGCCACCCAACACTCAGGAGGCTGAGGCTGAACCAGAGGAAGATCACTTTGGGTTGCAGGACAGCCTGGATGACAGAGTGAGGCCTTGTCTCACAAAAGGGATGAAAGAAAGGTCTGGGTCTTTTGTTTTTGTTGCTGTTTGTCTGTCTTGTTTTTGAGTCGGGGACTGAGTGTGGTAGACCAGGCTGGCCTTAAACTCAGAGAGATCTTCCTGCCTTAAAAGTGTGCACCTCCGTACCTCGCCTGGTTTTGTGTTTTGCAGTGGGTCTCACTTAGCTTGGGCTGGCCTTGACTCCAGACTGTGGGACCACAGGTGTGTGCACCATCAGCTCTGTAGAAGCTGATGGGCCAAAAGACCCATTTCTTAAATCCCCAAATCACGCCAGTGGTAATTTTCAGCTTTGAGAAGGGTACTCAGTATTCTAATTATTAACTAAGTAACAGAAAGAGCCCTATCGTGAGTTCCAGGCCACCCTAGGCTACAGCATGACCCTCTGTGTCAAAAAGAAAGGAAGAAAGACGGACAAAATCACCAAGCTGGTCATAGTAGTTGATAATCCCATCACTTGGTAGAAGTTGATGCAGGAGGCTTGCCACAATGCCAAGTCACCCTAGGCTACATAGCAAAACCATATCAAATGCAAAATTTTTTAAAGACAAAATTAGGATTCCTGAAAATAATAAGAGACCGGCAAAACAAATGTCTAACTCTAAACATTTTGCTGAGATGTTAGCACTACACAGACAAGCAGCCTTTGAGCTTGCTGGGGCATGGGTTGCTGGCACATATGTGAGACCAAGCATCTGTGCCCTGTGTCTTCAGTTGCTTTGAGACAGAGACAAGACCTCCCACTAAAGCTGAAACTACATATTCAGCAAGACTGGCTGGCTAGAAACCTCAATAATCAGCCTGTCTGTCTCTCCCTAGTACTAGGACTGGAAGCATGCACAGTTCACCCAGCTTCTTATGCCAGTGCTAAGGATCCTGTTTACACAGCAAGCACGTACTTGGCTAATGAACTGTCTCCCCAGCTCCTGTTTGGCTGCTTTGTTGGAAACTACACATCCTAGGCTGGCCTCTACTTTTCAGCAGCCCACCTGTTTGCCTCCTGAGTGATTAAATTAAAACTGTGCCACCGTGCCAGGCTCATACTGGGCATTTTAAATTCTTCTAGCTTCAGATGGGATGAATAATATTTAATTAAAAAGCATCCTAGAGACCAAGACACAGTTGTACACATGTGTGATCCCAGCCCTGGGAAATGTTGAGGCTGTTACAGAACAAGCTCTTATATCAAAATAAAAGGGCCTAGGCTGGAAGTGCTTGGTGACACACCCAGCATATGTGCGGTAGCGCCTCGACCACATCCTTGGCACTACTAAAAACAAGGAAAAATACAGTGCCCTAAGGAAATTAAACTTTTAATCTGACTTAGTGACTCATTGGACTAGTCCTTGGTCACTTCCATCCCTGCCGTCCTTTCTATGGGAAGAGGCCCCAGGCTGTTACTGTCTCCTCTCTCTTCCAGGAAGAGAACTAGTGTCTGGCACTTAAAACCTAAACTCACTTAGAACCTCTTAACTCTTGAGGAAGTGGGCTGGGTCCCTGGTTAGGAGGTGGCCATAACTTTTCTCGGGTCTAAAAACTTGAGGCTCTTGGGGTTCCCTCTTTATCCCTCCCACTCACCGGGCCTCCTGCTAAAGCTCTTGCAGCACGCAGTTGCTCCTCTGGGCCACGGTCTTGAAAGGAAGCTCTATAAATCTCTGCAGTTTTAATGTTGACGGCTGCAGGGGACAAGGGAGGGACTCTAAACCAACAAAGATCCAAAGCGGACTTTACGTTTCTAGCACTACATGTAAGAAGCAGAAAGACAGAAGAATGGGATCTGAAGAAAGTCTGAGGTGCTGACAACCTCTGCACCACACAGGGAAGAACAGCCCTGAGGCCTCAGGGCACAACAAACACTTGCAAGGCTGCCAAGTGACAGAGAAGAAAGAAAGACGTGCCTGTGTGCTCACCACCCAGCTCGGTAAACAAGGATACACCAGAAGCCCTATGCAATTTGCTAGCCTCAGGACTGGAGGGAGGAGGACCCTGGGCTTACCTTCCTCCAGAGCCCTACCCATGTGACACTAAGCTGCAGGAGTAGGTGTGGGGTGTGATAACCTATGCTGTACACTGGCATTAACAGCCTCACAGCTAAAAGGTTAACCAAGTAAGGCCTCTTGCCCAAGGTTTCCAAACTCACTAATGACCTTTAACCTAACACAGCCTGCTATACCCACAGGCAAACCATCCATCCCTCAGATACAAACGCTACTTACCGATGCCATAAATGACTGGAAAGTGGTTTTCATTTTCTTCCCGGTCATTTAATTCTAAGAAACAAAGGGAAGTAGAAGCACTAAGCAGTTGTTTTCCTCATGAAGGAAAAGCTCGGTCAGTGCAGAGCCCCAGGTAGGCCACTGGCCAGGAACACAGAGCAGCCTCTAACAGCCTGGAAACCAGACATCAGGGCCTTTGTGCAGAAGCAGTGTGAACATCCAATTCAGTTGGGTAGGACCTGGTGGCAAGAAGTCTACCTAGTGTTAAGGAGTAGTGGGGACAGGCATCCAATAGGTGACAATCTCTTTTGAGTGTCTTCTACAATTCCTATCCTGATGGTAGCTGTTGTAAGAAGGGTATTGACAAAGCTGGAAAGGTGGCTCAGCAGTTAAGAACACTGACTGCTCTTCCAGAGGTTTTGAGTTCAGTTCTCGGCAACCACATGGTAGCTCACAACCATCTGTAATGGGATCTGAATACATCAACAGTGTACTCACATAAAAAAATAAATAAATCTTAAAATAAAAAAGTATAGACAAAACCTTCTTGAGCCCTTAAACCCCTTTGGAGAATGCAGCAGAACTTACCTGTTACACATAATGTCACCAAGTGAATATCATCATCCTGTTTGTCAAATTCACCTACAATTGATGTCAAAAAAGTGCCCAAGTTAACAGGGGTATGTGAGTGTGGTTAAAATATATATGCATGAAAATGTTCTAGTAGGTATTGAGATATAGCTCAACTGACACAGTAATTCTTAGCATGCTCAAGGTCCTGGGTTCAATCCCGAGCACTACAGAAACAGGCTTGGTGCCACATTCAATTTCAAGGCCAGTCTGCTGCATGAGATCCTGTCTCAAAAAGGGGACCAGGTAAGAGTAGAGGCTAGACCAGCAAGAAGGCAAAACATCTGTAAAGGCTCTTGCAATCTATGTTCCATATATAGGACCCACTCCAGCCAGCTGTCCTTACCTTCATGCTCAAGCTCCATGGTGCACACATGCACTTAAATGTAAAAGGAAAAATGGAGTCTGTTACGTCTAACTAATGGCGCTGGAGACATGGCTCAGTGGTTAAAGCACTTACTCTGCTCTGGCATAGGGCCTAGGCTCGGCTCCCAGTACTCACAAAGGGCCGTTCTATGAGGAGACCAACCTTTTTTGAGTCTATTAGAGAAAAAGAAATTTCTTTATGTGTCTAAGAGTTTGCCGGTGGTGTGTGTGCACCGTGTGCTATG